AAGTTTTTAATACTCTTATCAACATATGAGTGTACAAATATGCTTTATGCAAATGTTTATTATCATTTGAACAATAACAAATATTCTCCTGAATATTCTCAATACAACAACCTGGAACCTCTCTCTCTCTCTCTCTCTCTCTTACACTCTCTCCCAACCCTGTGTACTTCTCTGTACTGAGCCAGTTGCTCAAACAGACAACCCTGTTTACAGGTTTCGGCAAAATGCCGCTCCTCTTTCTTCATAACAGTCAAAGCATGAGAATGAAGTTCCCACTGTGGGTCAAAATAATGCGCTGTGATGTGCAGTGGACACGTTGGATGCGATCCGAATGATCTAACGCAGCCCCTCGTCCTCCACAATGTTAAGCTGTAGCCACCCATTTAGCTATCGCTGTTGTTGTCCAGGCGTCTCCCCGGCAAACTTTCAAGCGTGGCATGCCGCAAGCGAGCGGAAGGTGCGGGGCTGTCGGCATCAGCTGGTGCTTGGCTTGCTGTTTAAAACACCTTTTTTTGTATCCATATCTCTCGCTAGAATCTTCCACCATCCAACTAACAACAACAACAACGTCAAGCCTTTGGGCTCTGACACTAAGGGCGGGCAAAGGACAAATACACATGCGTTAATCACACGTTAAAATAATTAGTGGCGTTAAAACATTTTTGCATTAACGCGTTAACTTGACAGCCCTAATATATATATATATATATAGCACCACATTGCCTCCCCAAAGCTGTAAACCTAGGGGAAACACTGGACTAACTGGTTAGTGTTCAGGGTGTGTGTTTTTCTGTAATAATATTACCTCTATCATCAATCATTCTAAGTTATCCCTTGATGGATAGTTTGGATGTTTTAAAGTGAGGAAGTATGAGGTCAGTGTTTTACCCACAGTAGATATAAGGAGAAGCCAGCATCAAATCCTATTTAACCACCCAAAAGAAAATCAATATCCCACAGCAAGATAAAGCCCCAACTATAGTGTATGCTTTAACTTACAAAAATGTATAATTCACAGCAAGTCACAGCTGTGTCAAGCTGCATTGGTTGCTTTAAATAACAGACTGATTGCAATGAATGTAGTTGATATAACAATGGAATCTTATACTTATTTGACTCTGTTATCATGTGATAATTTGCCACTCCTCACAGCAGAATAGAATAGAGTAGATACTGAAATTACCAGCCCTATGCACTCCATCCAGAATCATTTCTGAATTAAGAATCCATATTGAAGCGAAATTGGATTCGTAGAATAGTAGATCCAGAAAGATTCAAACCCAGAGTGACTCCAACTTCAGTGACCCACTCTTCTACTATTATTGTATAAAGCTGTCTTTGATTTTGGCTGCTCGCTAAAGACGGATTGAATTATTTGTGTCTTGCCTTGACCCAAGTGAGATGGCTTCTGAGAAACAATCTGTCCTGTGAAGTTCAGCGTGTACTGTGTGCTGATGTCCTCCTCCTCTGTCTTTGTGATGACAGCCACCTGAAAGGAGAAGAGTAAAATAAAACATCAGGCTGCCAACCATCACACTTTATATGCTGTAATAAACCAGGATGTATATTTAATTCCTAATAAAACTGATATGCTTAACAACCACCTTACAATTATAATATTAGAATTGACACAAAAGTGAGAATTGTGTTCAATTATTGTATGTATATGTAAAACTTGTACACATTAGAGCAATATGTATCACACATGCTGACATGCACGCACGCATGCAAGCACGCACCACTATGACAACACTGTTGTGCAATAATCTTTGCTTATGTTCAATATATATTATTCTTGGCTGCTACTTCATTACTTCAAGCTGTAACAAAACTGTTGTAAAATAACACATTCTTACAATATATTAAAAAGGCTCCATTAGGCTTTTTGGAGTTTTCCCTTTCCTGTAGCACAGAGCCAGCTAACCAATCAGAGACTGGGCTCTGGTTTCAGACAGAGGGTGAAAAGACAGGCAGTATTTTGTCGGGACACAAAATACAAATATGAACCTGAGAATGAGCATACAAGGGCCCCTTTAATGTCACTCATAGCTGCTACTTTACTTCTTTTATACGTTATACTTACTGCTTTTTGTTTATATTTTTTACCATGGGTGTGTACTGTACTTATTTGATTTATATTCATTTTATGAGCTTGCCTCTTTTTTAATATGCTAGTATCATTTTATTTGGACTTTTATATGCATTGTCCCCTTGGCTGTAACTATGTAAATGTGCTGTGCGACAAATAAACAATTTCCGATTCTAATAACACGGTCCCATTTGCCTATTCTGATCTGACTGTAATATAATACAAACATGTTGGTGAATAGTTGTCACCTCGGCCACAGCACAGATGGAGCCCAGTGCCTCTCCTCTGAAGCCGTATGTCTCCAGTCGCTCCAGGTCTTCGTGGCAAAAGATCTTTGAAGTAAAATGTGTCAGAGCCATCACAGGAGTGTCTTCAGCTTTGATTCCATGGCCGTTATCACGCATTTCTATCCGGTCCAATCCGTAGTTCTCCTGCAATGTGAAATCCAATAGTAAAATGTAAAGGGAAATCAAAATCAGTGTTGTGAGTTCTGAAGACTTAAAGAACACATTTACCTGCAGGAAAAAAAACCTATTCTCAAATGAATCTTTAAAATAGGCAATAAAACGCCAATTCACTCTTCAATCATATTTTCAAAATGAATTTCTACTGTACCAGTTTAATGTCAAGGCTTGTAGCTCCAGCATCCAGGGAATTTTCCATCAATTCTTTCACAACATTCAGCACAGAGGTGATGACCTGTGAGCTGGACAGCAGCCGTACAGTATCTGGAGGCAGCTGCTTCATGATTTTAGGAACCTGTTGAAGAAAAGTCCTGTTTCAGTGTGGTTCTTCAGCGTGCAATTGAGTCTCAACCATGGTCACAACATCAGCCAGACATTGGGGTGTTGGAGAGAAACCTTCAAACATGGATTTCCAGACACACACACACACACACACACACACACACACACACACACACACACACACACACACACACACACACACACACACACACACACACACACACACACACACACACACTGTATGTTGCACTGTTTGAGGAGCCTGAGATATTGATATATTCTAACATAGAGTCTTGATATCTAATGGCTATTTGTTTAAGATCATATCAATTATATTCTTTTTTTTTAAACAAATGAGTGCCTCGAGTTACTAAGACCTCTGAAATGACAGGCCACTGACACAAGACAATCAAGTCACTTGTATTGTATTGAAGTGAACATGTATTGCGTTACAGATTACCCATTTCCAATTAGTACTGTTAATGTTGTATTAACGTCATGACAGCAGAATGTCACCTGAAATAACGTTACCTGATAGTGGCAGTCAGTGCCAATGTCAGTTCAATCAAGTTATCTTCTTTCGGCCATGACACAATTTGGTCGGAAGAAATGTAATAATAAAGAGAAATGTAATTAAAATAATTGAATTGCGTTTAAAGTAACATTAGGTTACATTTACTTAGGTTAACCTAAGCTAATTTGACGGCTCGCGACTTACTTGAGTAGACTCGTTAGCTTAAAGATAACAACCTTATCTCGTGCCAACTTACGTGGCGACTTCACACAATTAGAACCTTAATTGAACATATTAAATAGCAAGGCAATGCAGTTTCCATAAAGACTTACTGAAGAGTTATTCTGACTGCAACCCCTGTTGAATCTTTCATAAACAACAGACATGAGCTACACGGCGGAAATGACTTGATTCCCGCCCCCTTAACTACACGCTCATTTGCTAGAAGTGACACGAGGGCGGGTTAAGTAAAATGGGATATCTCTACCCTGAGTTAAAGCTTACAGGTACAGACTTGTGCTTTTTGTAAGATTGCCTTTAAAAAATCAACCAGGCTTTAACCCTTATTTTCAACACATACAATATAAACCTTAATATAACAATTTGGTTCGTTTAACTGGTTGGGGCATAGGTGTATAAAGTTAGGGGGCGGGACACAGCCTGAGAAGTTACCCCCGCGAATCATCAACACCGCAACTACTTCCGCTCAGGTCAGTGTACGACGTGCCGTCTGCGCTGGTGAGTTGCACACATCAACAAGAAGATGAACCATTTCTCTCCATAGCAGCTTGTTTCTATAAATACCTCTACTGCTCGCTACTACCTGTAAGTTTGCAACACTGGCTGTGTGAGTGTTCAATGTTGTACTTTCAACCACATAACGTGTCTTAATGCTTCTTCTTTACGCAATGAGGCTTAACAACTTGGTTTAGATTAGTAGTGGTTTGGTCTGGGCTATGTACTGGAGACGACTGAAGGCAGTCCAAGGCAGGGGACGTCTCGTGTTTACATGTCTACATGACAGGGCAAGATAGCCATTAAAACAAAGATAACATTCAGTTCACAGTCAAGAAGAAGTTTAATCCCTTTGTTCACTCAGCTAATGGTTCAGCTATTGCTACAAAATGCGAATAGACTAAATCAGTGACAGTGGTTTAGTACCAAAGTATTATTTCTATGCAACATATACCCTCTAATGAGGCTTTTATTTTGTCTGAATTTCGGTCGTTGCCGATACTTATTTAGAAGTAATTTGTCTAATCATTGGTTATGTTATGAGATCATACATATCTACTAATTCATGTATCGACTTGAATCTCAGCTGGCTGTTATGAGCTCTAGTATCCCAAATAAGGCAGATAGCTTCATGTAATACTAGGTGAATGTGACTAAATGTTTTTTATTCACAGTAGAACATAGTGTAATCCGGCTGGTAACATGATGACATCGACAGCTGGATGTTTGCATGCACCAGGTCTCATTAGAATATGGACGAAAGTCATCATTGCCTTTGAACTTAAGTCGACCCGTTATCTGTACTCCAGTCTGCTGCTGAAAGTGTACCAGAGGGTAAAGTTCATGCAGATTGCAATGTCTGTGTTTTTTGTTATCACATTTGGACTTTCAGGGAATGCATAGCGCTACACTTGCTTTTTGGTTAAATAATTTGCATCTAAAGACAAAGGTATGACATATAGAAAATTGTGAATATTACATTTCTATTTTTCCTGCAGGAAGTGTCTATTATTATCACGTTTATTATAGAGCTCCTTAAATGTTTCAGGATTGTGGTATTTGGAGCTTGTATAACAGTTACAGTGCTTATTGTGTCAAAATCTGATTAATGAATATTACCTCAAACATTTATCTGACATTTTAAACCTTTTAGAACTTTATAAAGACCAGCAAATTAACACATTTATTTTGGGTTAAAACATTTTCACCCCATTTGTTAGCTTGACAGACATTCCCAAAATATTAGTTTTTATTATGAGGGAACTTCTTGCAATAGGTGAAGGGGAAGAAAAGACCAATACTTATGTGGCACAGAAGAGTACACTGATTTGTGAATATCTCTGTTTTCTGTTCCCAGAGCAGGATGAATGTGGGTGTGGCACACAGTGAGGTGAACCCGAACACTCGGGTCATGAACAGTCGAGGGATCTGGCTGACCTATGCTCTCGGGGTTGGAATACTTCACATTGTGCTCTTGAGCATTCCTTTCTTTAGTGTGCCGGTGGTGTGGACCCTTACGAATGTCATACACAACTTTGTAAGTCACAGTCTCACACTTTCATTGCTGCTTAGCACGCTAAAATACTACACTAGCTAATCAGGTCATTTTGAAATTGCTTTATCAATGCATCAAATGTTATTTATATAGCCCACTATCACACATTACACATGTCTCAGAGGGCTTTACAGTGTACAGCATATGACACCCTCTATCCTTAGACCCTAAAAAAAAAACTTGAACTTAAAACAACAGGGAAGATACGTAATAAACCTTAGGGAGAGCTACATAGCAGGGATCCCTCTCTGAGGATGGACAGAATGCAATATATGTATTTTGTATGGATTAGAAAAAGATAATAAAAAAAAGTCATAGACTATCCAAATTACAGAAATTATAATATATATAAAAATCAGGTTTCAGCTTCGGATTACACGTTTTTCTCTGAATTTATGAGCGAAACAGAATAGCTTTTCTCAGAATAAATATAACTGCAACTAGAGATATTTTCAGTATCAATTCATCTACTGATTATTCTCTTGATAAGTATAGTACATAATAACAACAAAATGGGGAAAAAAAGTCAGAGCTGAGTCTTGTTTTGTCCTCCCAAAATCATATTAAGAATCAGAAACAGGTTTATTGTCAAGTAGGTAACACATACGAGGAATTTGCCATGGTGTATTTGGTGCCTACAAAAACACACTTCAGGAAGATAAATTGTAAAACAAGGACCGTGAAATAAAACAGGATAAAAAACGACTGCCAGTGTTATGATGAACAACACAGTGTTTGCATAGTGTGCATTAATGTAATATTCCGTTTACCATGATAATTAAGGGATATTTTAAATAACATTTTGAATACAATAAAATTCAGTTGTAGCCTCACAAGCCGAATGAATCTTGCATGCATGCTCAGCACACAGCCTGGTGTGTGTTACCTTCTGCCTGTGCTTGTGTGAGCTTGTTGAGATTTGCTCTATTTTTTGGGAGGCTGTCCTTGTGACCTATTATGATCATTTCCCCACTCCACATCAAGAAAGAAAAATGACCATTCATTGTTACATGGCTGGCTTAAAAATAAGAAACAAAGTCCATGTGTGTGTGTGACATCAAGTAGTGCAAGCTGCAGGCAGTTTACAGGGATTGTGTATCAGCAGCCGGTACATGAGGCTATTAACAGTAGCTGCTAAGGTCAACTAAGGCTTATTGTTTGTCACACACTACAGCTGCAGTGGGCCAATTAAGACAGCATTTTAGTTGTATTACTTTCGTTTTTTACCTACAGTAGGGGCATCCAATCGATTTTTCCTGTGTTTTGAATGTATTCTCAGGCGCCCAAGCCTCAGGCAGGAGCTGGTATGTTTCTGTTGGGAGTCTTTGTGCAGCTCACTCTCAACACTCCTGCAGCAACCAAGTTATTGTTTTTATCCAAGCTAGTTTGTCAGATAAGTAAGTTGGCGTGCATTTGTTTTTGTTGAGTTTTGAGAATCTGCAACTAGAGATTTTGGTCACCATCGATCAATTTGCTGATAATTCATTCATTCAGCAATCGGTGATGTAGAACTATCTATATGGCCCTTTTCGTTTTAGTTCTAGTCATCTAAGCTATTGCCTCTCCTCTCACTCCTCTGTCTCATGCAGGCATTGGAGCCCCACAGCTGTGTCTTGGTATGACCCAGAGAGTCGATTTGGCTTGACCAAAACATTCATAAAACAAGCTCTTCATCAGATAATAACAGGACCAAGCTGATGCACAGTGTCAGAGAGCAGTATGCAATAACTCCCTTCTAGGAACAGAGCTAGCTTTGACTGGTTATCAAATGTGAAGAAAACTTCATCAGCTGTTCGTGGCTGCAGCAAATGTCTTTTAAATTCTCCAGCCATAACTTCCAATAAACGTTCATCCATTCCAGCTCTCCAGTGTTCTCCTTGTGTTCCGAGTCCTTGATCCAAAAGTTTCATTACAATTGCTACTTAACCATTTGGTGTATAACAAAAACAAACTGGAAAAATGACCTTCACAGTTTCTCAAAGTCAGAGGGAATGTATTTAAATTTCTTGTTTTGTGAGTCAAAAACCAAACACTTTTAAATATGGCAAAAAGCAGGAAATCTTAATTTGTGAATATTTAGAAAGCACTACGATCAGAAACGTAACATACTTTACACAAAAAAATCTCTGGAAACATAATTTTTTGTAATTGTGAACATAATTTCTACTCTACAATATTTTTCAAGTTTAAATGGAGACGTAGAGATGTAAACAGTGTGCTATGATATATGTTAACAGATTGTTAGCCCTACATTATCAGCCATGTTCTTGTCTCTACAGGGGATGTATGTGTTCATGCATGCAGTGAAGGGCACTCCCTTCGAGACCCCTGACCAGGGAAAAGCCAGGCTGCTCACACACTGGGAACAGCTTGACTACGGCGTGCAGTTCACCTCATCTAGAAAGTTCTTCACCATCTCCCCCATCATCCTGTATGTATTACATATAATATGGTTGTGTCTTTACACTGATTTAGAGAAAGGAAACATTTTAATATATTTATCAAATCCTGGGTCACACTGACTACCAAAAAAAAAAGAAAGCATCTATAAAAATGTTGACCATGACAACACCATTTAAGGTATAATATGCAATTTTGTATGCATTCAAATAGTTTAAACAACTAGACCTTTAATATATTTTGTACTTACCTTATCCCAAATGGTTCCAACAATTTAAAGAAATATGTAAGTTAAATCAAGGTAACGTATTTCATTTGGTCTCCTGTAACGTTGTTGTGTCCTCCGTTAATTCATTTTTAACAATACACTTTTTTAGATCCTGCAATCTTTTAACACTATGTTTAATCGGATTAAGGACTTAGTCATTGGACATAGGGATGTTAAGTCATCAGAGAAGCAAGCTGAGCTAACGTTAGCCGGGGTTCTGCTCTCAGCCTTTCAGCCCTATCTGTGTGACGAACAGCATCGGAGAAACAATGACTTTTATCATGGAACAGCTTTATTTAGTGTTTTACTGGTTTTCATCACCATGTCTGTTGGTTTTGAAGAGGAGACCTCTAAAGATAAATTAAAAGCTGCTAAAAGTCTCCCGAATGTCTGGATCTAAAGTTGTCACAAACCCAATGAGCAAACGTTAGCTCGCAATGCAGTCTGTCTGAGAAAAACACTGATTCTTAACATGAAACTGATTTATTTAGTGTTCTTATCAGTTTTAATCAGTATTGGGAAAGAGCAGACTTCAGCATATAATTGTGCAATAACTTCAGAGGTGTTGTAGTCAACGACTCCCATGATCCCACACTACTTCACGACATGTCCAAACTCTTGTCTTGTTATAGTTTTGTAGTTGTAGTTCAGAGATCCATGCATCAGGAAAATGACATTGTTCATTTTAATGCTTTTAAACAATCAGAAAACTGTGGGTTTGTCTTGCAGTTACCACTTAAGCAGGTATATTTGATTTCCTTTTTTAACCATTTGTTTTGCTCCACAGATACTTCCTGGCAAGTTTCTACACAAAGTACGACACGACACACTTCGTCATAAACACCGCCTCGCTTTTGAGCGTCCTGATCCCCAAGCTGCCACAACTACACGGAGTGAGAATCTTCGGCATCAACAAGTATTAAGTTATCATGAGCACTGTGCCTCATAGCAGCAGAAGTGACTTCATGTGTAGTGTGTGCCTCCGATGTGTGTACCGAGTCGTACAGTTTGTCGTCGTTTAGATGTATCAGATTGAGATGAAAAGTTTCAAAGGAAGGCAGGAGTAGGTTCGTAGAGGACAGGATGCCATATGCATTACTAACTTATGTGAATATTTAATGATGTATTTTTGGCCTGCATAGACCTGGGCTGGCCCAGGCATCAGTGAGGCTTTTGGTTGTTTCTTTTTTCTGCCCTCAGTTCACATGGCAACACAAACTGGGAGTAGGTCGCTAGCCACAGAGAAGCCCCAAATGTATTTTTCAAAGATGTTTACTTCCTAAGGGTGAGGGGCCGGTGGCTCGTTGTTTTATTGGTACACTCTCATTTTGTAATGGGTGTCAAACGTATTCATGCTGAGTGAAGAATGGAATCATACTCTTTATTTGCACAGTTTCCTTGGTATGTGAATCATTTGTAGCTCAATCAGAACAGGGCAGGTTGTTTTCATTGTACAGATTTATTTGTGAATATTATGTCCTGTATGTTAAAGAAGAAGTCCTGTGTTTAGAAATAAGGATATGTTGTCTAAGTGTTTACCAAGGGAGGTCTACAGTATCTCTGTGATCCACTCACATGATGTAGCTGCTTTTCTTTAGATTATGACTTTGCTTTACTATCATCAAGGCAGCTAGTTCTGCTTTGTTTGGCCATAGCCATTAGCTCTTGATGTGTCTTGTTCTTTAATCTTATTAAAATGTTTGAGCCCTCAAACTTTCTTCAAAGATTCTTCTTTAATGGCTGAGCAATGCAAGAACAAGATATCATCGGGAATGTAACAACAACTTTTTGGTACTATCAGTGCATTCTATACATGGTTTTCTTTAAAAAATAAAGTATTCACAAATTTGATGCGAGCTGTTCTGATAATAAACTTGAAGGTCAGTAGAAGGCTTCATTTTTGACCTGAGAATTAAGACTGGTAGACCTGGGTTTATCAAAAAAGCCATTTTTTTTTAATATATACATTCCACAGGATTAACATGAGAAAGCTTTGTATACAACGTCGGAATTATTTTTGAAACGCTTGGAAAGATGTTGGATTCGGTCAGATTCCACAGACAAAAAGGTCAAATGTACACACACTTGAGTCAATCGCACTGCAAACAAGGGGAGAAAAAGAGCCTCTTCAAATCCTAATGCATCAAACTACAAAACTCACAGATAGACATTTACCATTTTGCATCAGATTTAATTAAAAAAATGCTCCATATCAGATCATCTGGACCTATGCATGTCTGCACAAAGGCTTAGACAAACTACAGCAAATCTCTCAGCTTTCAGAATCACTGACTTGCTCCTTCAAACAAGCCTTTAACTCACAGGGAGGAAAGGCAGACATTTTTGGGGTTTTCTAAAACATGCCATCAATAAAACACTTAGGGCTGCACAAAAAAATATTTTATATTTTTGACCTAACTCCAATTATAATAATATGGGGATTTATCATTTTTCATTCAAAATCAGATTTTAATACATGTTTAGCCTTTGAAATATTATGTTTGATTTGAATATTGCTATAGTCCATATTGCAATACAGATTCAATTTTGATCAATTATGCAGCCCTAACAACAATAACCAAAAGATTAAAAACTTTATTTAAAGGAAATGCTGATGTAAAATGTATTCTACAGTCGACCTGTGACAGCTCCAATTGATCCAAACTTAAACTGATCCGTTAATAATCCACCTTCCTGTAAACCTCCTCTATGGATGTCAGATCCTCACACTGCTCTCCCAGCACTCCTCTGTAAACCTCAAAGTGATGGTTCAGATCTTTCTGCGTGTGGATTTTATATTTTCTCCCTAAGGCCCCGTCGGCAGAGGCTGTCCCGTAGAAGACCCGCCCTATCCGAGAGTGGACGAGTGCCATGGCACACATGATACAAGGTTCACGGGTCACGTAGAGGTCGTACCCAGTGCAGATGTATGGCAGAGAGCTGGGAGTGCTTTGAAAGGTGTCCGAGGCTGGGGGAGTAAATGTACAAGCGGGGTATTGGTCAAAATAATAACTCCCGCCGGCCTGGCCACGTGCCACGAGATCAATGCAGACCATGACTGCATGATGGAGGGGGTGGTCTCCTCTGCAGTCATGGCCCACTGCAATGACCTTCTCTGTTGATGGGTCCACCACCACGGCCCCCACCGCGTCCATCCCCAACTCACTTCCTGCTTTGGCCGCAGTCAGAGCAGACATCATGTGCGTGTGCATACTGGCCTTCTGAGGTGCAGTGAACAGCTCCCCCCTCAGGGCCACAGTCACCTGTTTGTCCTCATGGAAGGAGGTGGGCCAGTGTTTTCCCGCCTGCTCAAACTGGGGGCGGGTCAACGGGGGACGTGCAGGGATCTTAACCCGAAAAGGCTCACCTAAGGCGTCATGTTTCACTCCTGAGGGGAGCAGAGAGTCGATGCTCAGAACCTCCATGTGTGGTGCATCCCTGACAAGACACAGGAGGACCTCCGGAGGGTGGGGGCTGCCCTTCACCGTCCGCACCCTCTTGATGTGCTGAAGGCCGCTCATCGGGTACAGGCTGCTCAGCTCGCGGAGAAGTCGAGATGTCTCCTTCTTGTTGAGCACGGGTGCAGCAAACGCCTCCACCAGCTCCAGGTCTTGTGACTGCTCATCCGACAGCACAGGGTAAACTGTCCAGGAGTCAGAGCCACACTCGGAGCCTTTCCAGCGCTTCCTCTGGGGCTCCATTGTTTTGGCGCTCTCCTGTGAAATATGATTTTGCACCAGAGTGAAACAAAAGTCAGTGAATTTTCAGGACAGCACATGATGACAAAGCCTTTCAGTTGTGTGGGGACAGAAACTAAGCCTGGTCTATACAAAATGACAGCTTGAGCCCAAAAGACATTTGCATTATGAGATTTCCATAACAGAGATCAGCCAACAGGCTTTTCCAATACTGATTATAGATTACCTGCTAATTGTTTTCTAGATTAATGGTTTTGTCCATAAAATGTAAAATCGTTTTGAAAACCGTCGATCCAAATTTCTCAAAATTGTGAGGTCTTATTTATGGTTTGGCCAAAACCAAGATATTCACTTCAATATTATTTTGAAATAAAGATCAGAGAAAAGTAGATAATCTCCATATTTAAAAAAGGAGCATAAAACAAAAAAAACTGACTATAACATTAATCGTTTAACAAAACACTTGCTGGCGCAACAGTTAAGGAAGATTTTTTTGTATAACTTCAAGGATTACAATGAATTTGTAATGAATCCTATACTTTCTTGTTTTATTGTTTTTATATACATTTCTAAAGTAAAATTAAACAAAAAGTACATTGCATTTGAAGGTGTAGTTGAAATAAAGTGGATTTCTAGAAGAGCTCAAACAATACTCTATTTTTTTGTCCAACACCTGAATCAGCCATTATTCTTTAAAGAATGATTGAAATTGTCAATGCTCTGTAGTCGTGTCAGATTTTGGAGTTACCTCAAACATTGCTGTACTACATTTACTCATCTGCCAATACTTATGATATAGCGTAAATCCACCCCTTATTGAGCATGCTTGTATATCGCGGTTACACTCTTATTTGTAGCTGTTAAAATACATTTTAAAGTAAACATTTATACACAAAGCAGCACAACCAATACCAATTGTCTATCCATTTTATGCTCAAACAAGAGTTGACAAATAAATACAAAATAATTCCAGTTAGAAGACCTGAATAATTATTACAGACATTCAGCTAATGCAAATACCAAACAAAATAAAAATGTCTCTTCTTCAATAGATATTTGCAACAAAGATGCCATACACCCTCAAAGGGGCCCCATTATGCTTTTTGGGGTTTTCCATTTCCTGTTGTGTGTTATATAGGTTTTAGTGCATGTAAATGGTCTGCAAAGGCCAAAATCCCTGTGTTCCCTCCAGAGCGTGTTTAAACAATTTATAGTTGCAACTATATTGTATTGTTGCCTTTGATAATGTCGAGATTAAAATGACTGAAGCAGTGAAATTACTTGATACATTTAACAAAGCTGAAGTGATACAATACAGACAACTTATATAAAATAGAACTGATAAGCATCCTGGCTGAGAATAAACTAGATGGTGTCAGTGGCAAACACAACATATAGTACCATAGCAAATATTAGGTATTTCTTCATTTCCTCCCCAGTAAAAACTTTGCCTTCATAACTTTGGGCACGTGTCGTATGGTCAGTGACACTCTGGTGCCTCGGGTCAGTGTCTCTCCTGGCTGGGCCCCGGCAGCGGACAGGTTCAGCACCTTGTCCGTCAGCGTGTCCTGTCCCTGGGGCCGGATGCCGTGAAGGAGAAGCTGGTACATGTCCTCCTGCAGGATCAGAAGACTGCGCGGCTTCACCAGCAGGGAGAAGAGGAAGCGGCTCTCCTCCGTCTGCGGTGCATCATCCTCCCGGCTGCTGACGGGCGTGTAGAAGTCGAGCAGGGTGTGAGAGCCCAGGCTGATGGTGGTGACAGTAGGGTGGTACAGAGGGCCGTCCTCATGAGGCATAATCCCTTCCCCTTGTTTGTACTCGTTCACCAACACATGATTGGCCGTTTTCCCACTGAATGCACCAAGAGAGGAGATTTTCTCACAGTAGGTTTGGAGCCAGTCAGGAATCTTTTCTGCCAGCATGCCTTTGGGGTGTGGTAACCCTCCCCAGTTCTGAAGCCGTCTGCCTGACAGCTGCGTCCATTTAGTTTTGGGAGAGTTAAACACTCTCTGTTGAAGGTAGGACTCCTCCTCTTCCGATATGAAATCTGGGATGTAATACACTGTTGGTGGGGCCTCATTTACGACATACTGCTTCAACTCCTCCAAAATACAAGCTGGGTGTTCCATGACTCCTTTAGAAAAGTCAACATGAAATGCTTGTTAAAAGAGGGCTATTGCTAGCTAAAGCTCCCTGGTCATGGCAGAAAGTGTACAACAGCCTTGTTTAAAAAAAACGACTTTACAAAAGTCATTATTATTCACGATCTGAAAAGAAACTTACATTTCACCTAAATGCTATCAACAGGATTTCCCTCATTAATCGCAGCAGTAATATTAGGACGTAATCCGAGGAATTAAAGTGTATTTTGATAGCATTAGCAACATTCAGCTCCCCCAAACACTTTAAATATGTTTATGTCTACAGCACAATAAATACAGTAGAGACAGAATCAAACCGATTGTATGACACATTACAAATTGAAGGACACATGGAAAAGTACTGGTTTGTTCACGTACAAATTAAAGTAAGGACACATTGAATTTTTGTATATCTTAGTTTTAAAAAATGATTTTACTCAAACCCAAATTAAGTCTATTAATTCAAGTTTACCAAAAAATTGCTTAATCAGGGTTTTTGTTTCCCCCCCTATTTATTAACCCCTAAATCGCACTTGTCTGATCTCGTGAAGTCCAAGAGACATTTAAAAATGTTATGAGTTATTTCAGATATACAAATTAGAATGTTAATATGTTGCCTTCAAACAACCAGAGAAGGAAGAAGTACTTAGACTATTTACTTAATTAAAAGTAGCAATACTAATGAGTACAAATACTCAAGTAAAAGTCCTGTATTCAACATTTTGCTTAAATATAAGTGAAAAAGAATTAGCATCAAAATAGAGTACCAATTTTGCAGAATGGACCATTTTAGAACCATATATTTTTATTAATTAATGTATGTGTTCATCACTTAAATGTTGCACTTGGGAAAGGTGGGGTTTATTTGAATTATTTTATATAGGCTACAACTGGTGAGGCTTTTCTTTTTTCATTTATATTTTGTATTAATAATCTAAATCTGCAAAGTTGTTAGTAACTACATTTGTAAAATAAATGTAGTGGAGTAAAAACTACAGAATTTGCCTTCAAATTGTAGTGGAGTAAAAGTAGCATTATGTAAAAAATACTCAGTATCTAAAGTACAAGTGTACATGTCTGACTTAAGAACAGCTCTTGGGTAAATGTACTTTGTTACATTCCACCACTGTAAACACTGAGCACGGCATTTCTAATAACCGTGAACGCAGCACAGCCAACTGCTACATGGAAAAGGCTGATTTCAATTTTTAAACACGCGCAATGTTTGTTACACACGGCACACACCAGCTACCCGCACATTCCACAGTTTTAATTACAGTAAATCAACTACCTCTTCTGACATCAAAACGTTGAGGAAGCAGTCAGGAAGTCAGGAAGCAGTCAGTCAGAATCTATGCGCACGCATTTGTGCAGCCGACTAAAATGTCCCCCTAGAAAGTCATACATTTTTTGGACCTATCCTTGATTTTCTATACGATTATTCCAGTTACTAGCTATGTGTATTTATAATTTAAGTTACCGTAATAATTATATATTTTAGGTATATTGCAAATGTTTGGATTAGCGTCTGTACTTTATCAGAGGTCACAAACTCGGTGGTGCACGGAATTATTTACATGTGACACAGCCACACGCTTTAGAGTAGCAGAGACAGAAAACAGTTTTCTGCTCGGAACTCGACAAGGTTGTTGTTTTGTCTTTCTTTTGTTAATTTCCTCGAAATCTTATGTCATGCCATTGCCGTTTTTTTATGGAGAGAAATCAATGGGAAATGATGTGATGTCACTATATTTGCCCCCCTATTTTAACTCCTACAAGAGGCATAACTATGTTCCCTACGAAAGTAAAAAGGCTGCTACAGTTAAGAAACACATTGTGGGGCTGTGCTTCACTTAAAGCCCACTGCTCCAGACTGGTTTTGGGCATTGAGACAAGCTGTGATGACACTGGAGCTGCAGTTATGGATGAGACAGGGAAAATACTGGGGGAGTCTCTACACTCACAGAAAGAAGTCCATCTCAGGTGGGTGTCACATCTCCAACAGGCTTACTGCTTTAGGTTTTTTTTCAAACCCACTTAGACTTTATTGTATGGAGTCAGACAAAATAAATAAATGCAAACAGAATGTTGAGATATTTGTACTTTAGTATGTGTTGCTACTTTTCACAGGTAAATTATTTACTTTTATTCCACTTCATTAGGATTGTAGATGTGAAATATAATACCATTTTTAGTTGCACCTGGAGTAAATGCACAAGCTTGCAGTATACAAAGTCATTAAACCTAGCTGCACCCTTACCAGCTTTGATAACACTTTAATGCATCGATCATTATAATCAAAACACATCATATATATTATTCTGAAATGGGCCAATCTGCAGAATGAGTACTTTTACTGTTGGTGCTTGAAGTATTTTTTGATGCCAATACTTTTCTACTTTTACTTGAGTACTATTTTGTTTGCATGACCTTTATTTGTAACAGAGTACTTCTACACACTGATACTTCTACTTTTACTTAAGTATAAATCTGAGTACTTACTGCTTGTATCTCTTCCCTTTTGAATACTGCAGGACTGGAGGCATCATCCCCACAGTGGCCCAGCAGCTCCACAGAGAGAACATAGAGCGGGTGGTGCAGGAGGCCCTTGAGAGGAGCCACGTGGCCCCCAGCCGGCTCTCAGCTGTGGCCACCACGGTGAAGCCCGGCCTGGGCCTGAGCCTGGGCATCGGGCTGGACTTCAGTCGGAGGTTTGTGAGGCAGCACAATACGCCCTTCATCCCCATCCACCACATGGAGGCCCACGCCCTCACCGTCAGGATGCTCCAGCCGGTTCCCTTCCCCTTCCTGGTGCTGCTGGTCTCTGGAGGTCACTCACTGCTCGCTGTGGCTCGAGGAGTGGATGACTTCCTGCTTTTGGGTTACAGTCTGGATGAAGCTCCAGGCGATACGATGGATAAAGTAAGGTCATAAAGGGATTGGTAAATTCCAAAAAAAAAAAAAATGTGTTTCCTCTTACCTGTTCTGCCATTTATCAATCAAGGTCAGGGGTTATTCAACTCTTTGAGGCCAGGGACCCTTTACAGTGGAGACAATGAACAAGTGTTGGAGATGTCTTCCTTCTCTCCACATTTTCTTTTATTGTTCTAACATATTTATTTGATAGGTTTTTATTTTTTTGCGTATTTATTGGTTTTGTATTTCTTGAAAAGACAATTCTGTTGAAGTTTTAAAAAAAAAATGTTGGCACGACAAGCCATTGAGTTGCATTATAATCAGAGAAAACTAGTTTCATAGAGATGAATAGCACTACATTTAACATGAGATATATATTTCATGATTCAGGGTGAATTCTTCCCTTAACCCCAATATCATTTAGTTTTCATGTTGTTCAATTTGTGTATTTTGACTTAATGTGTTCTTTTTTCGGATTCAGGTTGCAAGGCGTTTGTCTCTCATAAAGCACCCACAGTGCTCCACACTGAGTGGAGGACAGGCTCTAGAGCTCCTAGCTAAGGATGGAGACAAGTCAAGGTTCCCGTTCAGGACCCCCATGGGACAAACGTACGACTGCTGCTTTTCATTCGCTGGGCTACGGAATCAAGTTAACATGGCGATAATGAAAAAAGAGGCAGAGGAAGGTATGAAGACACAAGAGAGGTTTCTCAATACTCTAATTTCCCCTCCTCGACTCCTATCCTTGAGACTTAGTGCCGCCCACAGGAGATGCGAGCGGAGGACTGAGGAGGAGAACCGAGGAGAGAGGAGGGGAAGTAGCAGGCGGTTAGAGAAATGAGAACTCCTCTACTCTGAGCGGTCATTTTAAAGAGACGTCCATTAATGATGACAGGAGGCACAGCAGCACTCTGTCTGATGGACAGGTGTGTTCATGACGGCTTATATATTTACTTTTAATTCATTGACAGTGCGGTATGATGAGACAATAACAAGCTACAGATGCGGACATATACACACACACACACACATATATTTATATAAATATATACAATTTCAGAATCAAACAAGTATGAGAGCACTCTCATAATAACGTAACACAATCAGAGACTGGCTATATCCCCCCCTCCCCTATCTCTGGTCGCTGAAATGGGGAATTGCAATTACGGGCCCAAAGTTGTATTTTGGCCCATATTTTTATGTACTCGTACAAGTATTAGAAGTAAGCATAGGACACCAAACCAACTGAGACCCGTCTGTCAGCTGCATCTACGCACTGTACAACACACACACCTACACACTGTACCACACACACCTACAGCTCCTAAAGCATAATCAGGCTACAGCCGTCGTGTATTTTATTATGTGAAGCACTAAATGTTCTTAGAAACATATCGACTCTTTGTTTGTAGATATCTACCAAACTACAGCATACAAATACAGAGAGTAATGTAGGCCTGTTATCTGAGTGATATATATTTTACACACTGCTCTGCTTTCTGCACGGACCTCACAGCTGTTACTAAAATAATATCCAGGGGATGCATGCAGAGCTGTCATTGGCTGAGATAAGTCCGGCCGTGTGTAACGCCTCCACCGTTCCCGGAAATAGAGTGGCGAAGTCCCTCCCCTTCCGGTGGACCTCCATGGGACCTTATTTCGGAAAAATTATGTATTGAAGTCAATGGAGAGAGAAAGATTATCTTTCGATCCCGTTTGAATTGTGCCACAAATTACACATATGATGTTTGTCAATTTGAAAGATAATTTTGCCAGTCAAAAAAAAAATGTGTCGTAAAACTGTGAAGTAACACATTTTTTTGTGTGAAACTCACAATGATCTACATCTCTGGTCTTGCACAACAACACACGTCACCAAGATGGCCGTCACTACTGTCTTGCTAAACAAGGATTGACTACCCTCACTATCACCACAATGAAACACGTCCAGGAGAATGTCATGCAAAGCTGCCTGTCTGCCTTCCTTGATTTTCTCTGAACTGCCTGATTCTTTTTAATGTTTAATGGCGGCCACTAGATTGGTTTTACAATATTGAGTCATTGCGACCGGGCAGGTGTGTCGCCGCACGCAAACTTCCGAACGGCTCGCCCGCACAGACATTTTGAGCTGGTTGTTGGTAGTGTACTTAGAGGCGGCGACTGTGTGTCGGTCGGCAAAACTACCGGATCTCGGAACATGACAGATCCCACTGGTCTCGCAGGGGCAAAGGACCCTGTCAGGGGCAACATAACGGGACAGGGGGCCCAACTTGACAGGGGCCTTTACAGGGGAATAAAAATTATATACAATTTTGTGTGTATCGGTTGGCACTTTATTTTGCAAATTACAGTCTTTGTGAACCCATTTGTCTGAACCCACCAAGTTCGGTCGGGGGTGAAGCCTTTTGTGTCCAGTTCGGTCGGGCGGTGCAACAAAACGTCACGCGCTATATAGATACGTAATGTCCAATCCTCCCGGGACATTTTTGACGAAGTTTTATTTTCGCAAAAATGAGGCCAAGTTATTTGTGGTTTAACTATGGAAAATTTTTGTGTGGCTTTTGTAAAAGTAATATATGACCTAGAATTTAATTCTGTTATACATGTAAATTATTACACTCAGTTATATTAATTTTTGTTTGATGTATATGTGATGGTGTAATATTGACTACTTACATTCTTACATTCCGTATGTCAATACTTCTGTATAGATCTGTAAAGGTGACCGCACTGATTAAAGTTAACGTACAACCGTGGTAGAGTGTGTGTGAGGATTTGTATTGTAATGAAAAGACTCCGGTTAAATTTTTACTACGACAAATTTTAAGAGTTTAATCTAGATAACAGGTAGCCATAATAAAACTAATATATCAAAGTACCCTTGGCGAGGTATTCAGTTTCTCAGTAAGCTCTCAGTTAGTTTTATGAATAAACTTGATGTCCCCCACTATCGTCCTGTGGGGTAGATCAGTGAGTCTGCTCTAGACCTGTTAGACTACATGTCAAAGTTTTATTTTCTGGAAACTTCAGAGTATACTCATAACGAGGAAGACAAACCATAGGTTGTGGGGGCGGCTCAAGTATTACAGATCTAATGTCAACTTGGTCGTTTAACAGGGGGAAAAAAGAAATTGTCGCTTTTTTAACTATACAAATTACCTCTAAAACCTGGCGTTTTTGAGTTTTACAGGGGCCAAAAGTAAAACTTTAATTATCCAGTGGAATAACATGACCGTACTACTAAGCTAACCGACTGCGGAAGACGGCCTCCGAAGTTTTCAACTTGTAACGAGTTGAAAGTCGCTCGTGACGGTCGTTGTCGCGTTTTATGGCGAAGCGAAGGATGTTACGTCAAACCGCTTTTCACTAGTCGGGTAAGTTTCACCTTACCCCCTTCGAAGTTGGCGGTGACGGCGACACACCTGCGGTATTGCCGGGAT